ATTTCCGGAGCTTGCATTTGTCAATTCCGGTCAATGGTATATTGGATTATTACTAATATGATCATATCACTTATCTGTATCACATTGATAATCATCTATCTATAAGCAGTTGCCTAAATCGAAAGCATTTATTGGCAATTTACTGCGCAATTAACCCTAACGAATATCCAATCTCATTTGCATCGGAAAAAAAAAACAAACTTTGTCAAATATTTACTTTGTAATTTAAACATTTGTTTCGGTCGTTTAACTTTTTTGTTGCAAATAAGTCAATCTGCTGAACAAATAAGCACGATTTTAAATGTTTGGCAAATAAGGCTAAAACATTTCTTCGTTTTTATTTCATAAAACTAAAGCTAACAGTTCATTGATAATCAAAAAAAATCAAAATGCAAAACACCAAATTTTGGACAAACAATAAAATTTCTGAGATCCAATTAAAATCCCAGAAGTAGATTTCGTCAAAGGAATTTTTGCTCTCTTCATGAAATTCTTTCTAACTTTAACATTGAAAGGTTAAAGGTTAAACACTAAAATGTATCATTAAACTGGCAAGAATTATGAACAATAAATGTCACATTACTAATGATCCAGAAGAAAGCTCTTATGCTGTCCAGGTGATGATGCAATAGTAAATTGTTGAACTACAACTTCAGGAATACATTTTGAAATCGAACTTCACATGTAATGCATATTATGCATACTTCAAAATTTGTTAATTAAAAGGATTCGATTTCCTTTGGTCCTATTGCTAATGTTCATTTCCCCTTCAATTTTCTTCTCAATTTTAGAAAAGTGTCACATTTATTCGAGTATGAAATAATTTTATGGCTTAATTGAATGTTAACTTTGATGTTTCAGATATCCAGTTTAATATTAAAATATCGTTTCTGTTAAAGTATCTTCGAATGTGCAAAAATTCACTGATGAAACATTCATTTTGTAATAGCTTACAAGAGAATATGTTTAAGCACTTTTGCACTAGCTACTGTTAGCATGAATCAAATGTCGTAGCAAACCAAACTACTTCTATGGATCTCATAAGAATTCCTAGATTGTTTTCCCTTTTTTTTTTTTTTTTTTTGTAGACTTTAAGCTTGATGTACTTATGAATACAATATCTTGTAACAGTAAGATATATGGATAACATTATTGTTTCTAGAAAATGGATTCTTTTAGCATAAATTAGAAAATTCTGCATATGGGCTTAACATGTAATAATAATCCTAGAAATTTATGGTTGATAATTCCTGAATAATAACATGTCATATATGAAATTATGAATTATTTCTTCTGGAATTCAATTATGAATTATTTCTCCTGCAAATGTTGCTGCTGCAATAATATTATTGTTTTTACTTCAGATTTGGCATATGCATAAGTTTATCCACTTAATTGGCTAGCAATTAAGCAAGCATCTTAGAGCATTCAGCAAAATTTGTCCACTCTTTTCTTGAAAATATTGTAATATGCCGAATATAAAAATGATTATTTTCCTTTCTCAAATGGAAAATTATACAAAGCAATACTAAAGAGTATTCAGTGAATTAGTAGAAAAAAAACACAGTACACCGGGTAAAAAAATGATTTCGAAGCGATAAAAACCTATATAAAATCAGATAGTTCCAATTTCAAAAGTGATCTTCCTCAATTAGCTTCCGTTCAACCATTTCAGATCTAATAATCAAAGAAAAATTTATGATCGCACGCTAAAATAGCATATAAATTACTAATATTTATAAATGGATATTGAAAATGGTTAAACACAATTTGTACAAGGAAGAATAAAATATCCTACAATAATTCTAAAGTCAAAGCATGAAGTTCTTTCGCTAAATCATATTAGTCTGTATAATATGCTTCAGTTCTAGCGTTTTGCTATCGTGGTTTCGGTCAGATTCCTATTTAACATGTTTAAATTTTGAAGCTGAAACATGCTTAACAGAGTTCCGTTTTTCCGAATTTTCAAATCATCCCACCCTCCTCAGTGTTTGAGCTTTTTTTCATCAAGTAGTAGTTCATGAACCAAAAAAGTTAAATATTCTAAGAAACGATTCCGAATTTTCTAACACTTCAACAAGCTTGCAAATCTAGGGACCACAAGTAAAAAACGATTAAAAAAGAATAAACAATCATATTATAACATTAATATGGAACTACAGGAGTTAGCTCAAAGGTTAGCCAAAATTTTCAAGTTCACCGAACATTGATAGGGCATAAATGATGCGATGTGCGCGTGCTCTCTATTAAAGCACATAATGAGCGTCACGAAGATAAGATATTAGATCGTCAAAATTAAAGAAATTCACGACTAAATGTTCAAATGATTGCATTGTCCAGTCAGCGTTCAACCTTTCGAAACGACGTTCCGATAAGAATAATGGTTTTCCTCGTCTAAAACGGAAAGAGAAAATTGAGATTTCGATACTTTGAAAAGCAAAGAAAAACGTATGAAGCATAATAAACAAAGTAACCTTAAATTACGATCTTCCTCTCCATGAGCATCTAAGTAGACCGAACCCCAAAGTGCTGCCCTTCGATTACAAACTATCACAACCAGTGAGGTATTCAGTGACAAAAAACATCCTACACCACTGCTACAAATCAGTGCGTGCTAAAATTGAGTGAAATTAATGTTAAATAAAAAATTTGTCACAAATAGTTATTCACTAATTGAAATTCGCTTTCTCCTGGAAGTTTTCGACATAAAATTCTATCCCATCCATGGTACTTACATTCTTTTGATGAGAAATAAGATCTATAATACATAGTGCCTTTTTCTCCATACAGTAATGGATAGAACTTTTTGTAAACGACATGTTTTTTAAATTTTGCAACGAATGTATACTAGAACGAAATAATAGCTAGGAAAAAAGAATTCGCTTTATAATCAAAACTCATGCCTTAGATAGTTTATATACCTATTTGTTGATTTGATGTCAATAAGATTCTTTTTAAAATGTAAAATGCGTACTCGCTCCACTTCGTTGGCAGAAACAGTTTCGCTGGCTGATATCGTGCAGCAACTATCCAAGCACGAGAGTTGCCCGCAAAGAAGGCAGATAAATGGCATCCGAGGAACAAATCCGCAAGCCACACAAGAACAACCGAAAAATCGAGCAAATAAGTCATCGTAACTTTTTGGCAACGTAAGAAGGGTGAACCTACGCCATGATAATGGTTCCTTATGTAAGTCCTGTAATATAAGTATACAACACATACGGAATATTGGCCTTAAACAGATAAAATTTCACTTGAAATTTTCAAATGGAATAATTCAACATAAGATTCGACATAATGGTGAACAGTTAGCGAGATTAATCATATTTAGCTCTCTGTCACATCAATACTGGTGGATGAACCGGAAATATACAATGCTCTATTCAATGATCAAAGAATTATGCAACGATCCATACCTCCACGAAATTTTTGCAAGTAATCCATCGAAGCACTGCATCAACCCACTTTTCGATATGAACATGAGGTAAGAACTCAAGGGAAAGTTCGTTATTATCTGTAAGTACTCATATATATATATATTAAAAAAAGGAAAAAAGAATATAGATATGTGATTATGGGAAATCGACAATTTCTAATTCATGGTCAATGAAAATATTTCAGAATATTTTAAGTTCGGTTAAACAACAACTTGATTAACATCAGTAATGTTCAACCATCAATATATTTTCATTGCACTTAATATTATAGCGAACTTTCTTGGACCGTCTATCTTCAGTTATCATATCCAATAACACATGATAATACCATCGACAATGGTTAAATGATGGCTGTAGCACGAAAGAAATGTGATCATTGACTGGCAATACGCAGTAAGATGGTCAATCCTATTCAAAAAAAAGTATTAGATTGTCTTTAAAATAATGACATACTTGTCAGTAACTTGTAAATTTCCATGAATGTTACACGACTAATGCAATATTCTTGATCATATTTATGTATACCACATTCGTGCCACAATTGTGTAGTAAGACGAGATAAATCTGTACAGGTATAATGTAAAGCTTTTTCGAAATCCACTTCATCCTTAAATTTTCCTAATTTAGAAAATTTATTCTGAAAAATCTTTGATATTTAGTCCATCCATTTCAAAAACTTTTTATCCTGATAAAAGTTATAGACGAATTGCAGACTCATAACTCTGCATTGATCAAATATAAAGAAATAATCGGTTAAGTTTATTAATGAACTCACTCCATCTTTCAACAAAATATTTTCTGCTTTCAGATGAGGACGTGAAAAAAGTCTGTTTATAACACCTTTCACAGCGAATGTAAATACCTGAAAACTGTTCCGAAAGTTTACCACTTAAAGTTCTAATGGGAAAAAGTCATGGATTACTTTTGGAGTTCTCTTTTACCATAAAGAGTAAAAATGAAGCAAGCTGAGAGATGCATCGATTTAATCAGCGAAGGAAATGGAATTGAATATTGCGAGAACTTATGCAATCTAATAATACCTCATTACTGAATTCTAGACTTTCTGTTCGCTTCAGCTGTGATAACGGCATATGTAAAGCTGCTACAATCGCTGTACGAACAATTCCTGCATACAGAACTACCTGGTAAACAAATGCTAGTAAGCCTGAAAATAAGAAAATGAACAAAATCTGTAGAAAATTGAGAAAAATTTTTACAAACTGACGTTATGTTCAGATTAATTTTCCTAAAATTTTTTTTTAAAAATTTTTAGGCTTTGGAAAAAGTTAATCTGAAAATCTAATCACGAATTAAGAATGATGATAGTTAAAAATGTTAACATAAAGTGGTGAATGTGACCCGGAAGATTAAAACCAGTCGAGAACAACATCGCGGTTATGAACAAGCAACCGGATTACAGACAATCTAACTGCCATTGAATATGATGCAAAAGTTTCGTATTTTGCATTGTGAAATTTCCAGCTTCCAAAAGACCGACATGGAGTTCCGCTACAGCGGACAAACAAGTATTGCAAAATGATTGATGTTACCATGTCAACCCGGTGATTTGAAATAACTACTGAAGTAATAAAATAACAAACTTTTCTTATCTTCGTTAGTCAAGGAATCATTGGTGATGATGTAACTACTAATGCGAATCAGCGTTGTTTTCAAGTCGAACAGCACCATTGGAGTGCCTGTCTCTAGTTCAATGTCTTGATTCATACGCATTTTTGCTGCTTTTGCCTCAACTGTGGACTGAAATTAGCTCGGATTGAAATATGAATAAAAAGCAGATTTGTACAGGAAATACGACTGTTGGGCACAATTCTTAAAATATTATCTCAAAACTAAACTACCTTAACCAATATAGACCACTAGAAACCTATTCTTTCGTCATCGATTTCCTGATATAAATACTATAAATTTATAAATTTGTTAAAAGTATGTGCAAGTTTTCCAAAAAAAGAAAAAAAATTCATACTGATGCTAGAATATCCGAATCACTTGGCGCAAAATATTGAGTATAGTTATCTTCCAAAGTAGTTTCTACTAGTGCCTGTTTTTGGTCGAATCCGAAAACCAATTGCCTCCATTGATAGATCATAAAACTTGTATCACGTTTTGTGCCTTGATGACGTGCTCCATATACCATATGTTCTATAACAAACAATATATTTTGCTCCACTATAATATCTTTGCATTCGCAAGATATGCTGTAGAATTTTTAAGAATCTAAACATCTTTTGACCTTTTTCAAATATATTTTTAACGTGTTAATCGATGGCAATATAGCTGCATTTCACGTCATATTTGTCACCCTATGATGTTCGAAGGACTTGTGATGTTGATTACCTAGTTATTTCATCTAAGCTCCTTTTTAGTAAGTTATCCCTAAGCAATCTACCACAGTATTTCCTTGAAGCATCCACCTTGATATTCTACCAAACTTTAACACTAACAAAAAGGTGCCCTCTACATCATACAAATGAAGAGCAACTTAAATGGAAATATATTTTAAGTAAAGTCATCGAACTGAATAAACCTGTTGGTAATTCATGGCAACAACGATCAGAAAAATTTGACTCGGATAATAGAAGATTTCGTTCCAAGTTACCTCTGCAATAGAATCAAAAATTGACCAGCCTCATTTTAAAAAAATAGCTGAATTCAAGTACGTAATGACAAATTAACTGGAAAAAAACTAATCAATGATTAAGATATCACTTTGCAAGTCCGAAAGCGAAAATTTGGCCTTTTTTTGGTGTACTTTCGTTGAAATTTCCACGGTAAGATGTCCACTGATGACAAAGAGAAGTAAAATTTAAAAACAATTGCTGATATGCCACAAATTTCGTTTCTTCATTACCCTATAAAATGTCAAATTTTGAGATTTGACAAGGCTGCGAAGAAGTTCTTTAAATGTTAAACCAGTTATGAAATGGTCAAAGAATAAAGAGAAGTTACAATGATTTATCGAACTCGTAAAAGAAATCACACAGTACTTACAGCTGCATGAAAAACATACGAAACTGACCTAGGAATGCATAATAGAAAAAACAACTAAAAGTTATGGCACATGAGTCTCAAAAAAACTGAAGTAAAACAAAGCCTCACATGTTGCGCGATAGAGACTAATGAGATATGTAGTACCTTAATCTACCGCTATCTAAGAATACGAAATGCAGTCGCGTCACATCACATCAAATGACATGTACCGACTCACCTGTATATGAGAGGTGTCACTATTTATAAGCCTTTCCACTTCTTTCACCAATTCTGTACAATTGTTTTTTTGATAGGATATACCAGATCTGTAACGCGTTTAGAAAAAATTAGCAACAAAAAGAAAAAAAAAAAAGAAAATCTGAAAGAAGAGTTGAAATAGAGCGAACGCAGAAATAATTCGCTGTCTCAAACAGACCGTATTCTTTCAACGCCAGTATCTGGAGCCAAAGGAAGTATAGTGTGAACTGTTGCACGACATACAGGGCATGAAATTTCTATTCGCGCTTCCAGCGGATCAGTTGATGATGATGAACTTTCCTGAAGTGAAATTTCAGTCAGTTTTTATAGTTGCTATCGAATCATTTCATTTAAAAACAACACTAAACATGTACACCTAAAGAAATAACTCATAAATTACGAGCAGTATTAGAGAAATTGAATGAAGTAAAAACAAACAAGCAACGTTTTAACATATGTTTTGTAGCATTCGACATGTGCATAATGACCACATGTACGAACTTCAATACCGGTTGGAGCTTGGATAAGATCTGCATATTTCGGGAAGCGCTGCAATAAGAACAAAAATATGAAAATTCAAAACTCCATAGAATCAATCCTGAGCTTGTGTATTTTCACAGAACTAATTGACTGAACAAAATTAATTAAGCTTTACTTTGCCTTGGTACACTCAAATTTCGTGAAATTTACAGAACTCACAGTCTGAAGAAGAGATCGACGTGAAGCACTAAAAATCTTCAGCATCATACGATTCGTATGTATGCCTTTATCTCCCATTTCCATTACTGATAATGATGGACAATCCTCAGGTAAAGAGTGCTCAACGGCTAAAATATACGCTTCTAAATTAATTGTTTAAAATGTTAAATATATTACGGTTTAAGATCCAATTTCCGCTATAGTAAGGTAGTGAGGGTAAGGTAATGTGTAAGTGTAGAAATGTCATTAAAATTATGCATGACAAGAAATCTAATTTAAGGAAAACAAAACTGCACATCTAAAGACACAACCAACCGGATAATCAAAATATTACTTATTCCTGAAACAGTGTTTCTAATAAAATTCAGAAACATCTGACAGCAGATCGACTTCCAAGAAAAAATTACTGTTCAAGTAAAAGAAAACGAGCCGTAATTAACAACTATACGAGACATCAGTCCAACTGGATCAGCCAAAGTACTTGCTGTTGTGTCATTGCATATCGGGCATCTGTAATGTCTCACTGGCGAATTCTGAAAAAAAAAAGTATAAAAAAAGCATTTTCACAATTGAAGAAACAACCTTATGGAATTTGACAAGAAAAAAAAACAACTTTAATTTGAAATAGACTCCGAGAAGTGACATTTCAAATAACTGTTATCAATATATGATTAATCTTCCAAAAATCATAAGAAACATCGGTTAGTTATACAATGAAACATAGTTTTAACCTCCGTGGTATCCATTGCATCCATTTGAGTTTGCGTTAATCCTTCCATTGCCATCAACTTCTTCATTAATATAGCGTTCTTTTTCTGATGAGCTATCATTAAGGCCTGGAAGAGGAAATGTTTGAAATGTTATGCAGTGTTAACATAACGATACAAAGACAAGTAATCTCTTTCTGATTTTAACAATTTTTTGAATTGTTAAATCACAGAAGAGGAAAAGTGCAAACCGGTACAAAAAGTGTTAAATGTAATCGGAAATGCACAATGACTTGAAGTACACCTCTTGACGACGTTTTGCAGTCGATCGATGAGCCAATTTTGCAGGTGAATAAGCATCATCCTTTTCCTGAAGCATGTCTGATTTCAGCGTTTCCACCTGATGTTCACTGATGAACTGATCCAAAACCTCCTGTACTTTTTTACAGACTAAAAAAAAAAAAAAACTGAAATATGTGAAAGTTGAAATATATGAGTTGAAAGTAAATATGTCCACGGAGATAGCAAACTTCCTTTTCCTATCAACTAAATGTTATGTACAACAGCGATACGATTACACTGCTTTAGATTTCTGAATAGGAATGTCCCAAATCAAGGTAGAGAGTTTGCAAATTATCAATAAAATATTTCCGGAACTAAGAAAATACAAAAAACAAGATTAGCCGTTTGAACATAAAAAAAGACGGTGAACAATAATGAACAAAGTGGACGTACCTATGATAGAGCAAACAGAAAAGACGCCCGATGTAATCGATAGCATAACCCGAAATGTAATCCAACAATAAAGGATCTAGATTTAATTGCTTGGAAATATACTGAACCAGCAAATGATCATATTCAACGCTAATAGCATTTTCGCCATTCATTCTGCGCAAATATTTCAAAAGAAGTGTAATTACTGATGGTACTTGCCTGTAAAATAGTGTAACACATATCAAGAAATAGAAAATTCTTCAAAATTCGAATTTTCCCAAGCAATTCAAAGAAAAATTGAATTAGAGTTCCTCAAACAAAAGATAATATTTTATGTCGAAAATCCTGAATTCTGTGAACTACTGAACACCAGGTGAAAGTAAATTTTGCTACAAAGAGAAAGTAAAACTGCAATTCCATGCTAACAATCAATTTTAAATCCATTTCTAATTTTAAATTCAAGAACATTCTGTTGAAATAAACCAAATAATAACTACCTTTCTCCAGTGTCTGCAAAATCGGTGAACACTGAGAGAAGAGTAGAAACAGGATTTCTCTGAATACTTAATGTTTCTTGCACAGACGATGGTAACTTCGATTTTTCCGTAGTAAGGCATGAAAACTGTTCTGACGTAACAAACTTTACCATTAATGTCAAAAAATAAACAGCTGTTTGAAAAATTGCTTCGTTTAACTGCTGCTGCTCAACATACTGAAATATATATGCTCTATCAAAGTTAAAATTATTCACTGGTCTCTGTTAATTTCTAGTTTCTTAGCTATGTTTCTTAGATATCGAAGCATTATCATAACATTCACTGACTACAGCATAACTTTATCTTTTGCGATTTCCAATTTCAACATTAACAAATATTACTAATTGCCTGAATAAAAGTGAAAAGTTGGAAATCAACTCACAGCATATAAAATCCTATGCAACAGGTCGAAAAACGATGGTGTAATAAGAAATCTCGCACAACGCATTGTCCAAATGTTATCAAATGAACAAAGACGATAAGGAATCCACAGGTGATCACCAGAACGAGTAATCGTTGAGTGCTTCGGTAAACTGCGTTCACTGAATAAATTTTCAAGAGATGCAGTCAAATCTGTTAAACTGATGAAACATTCGATTTAGGGTTAAAAAACTTCCCGCTCCTGAAAAACGAGAATTTTTTTTCGCCTACCACTACTAAAAGTTGGTAGTCCAAATCACCTACGACTTTACTAATAGAAAGATCAAAAAGGAGGCATGGCAGCCAATACCTTGTGACTCATTCTGGAAGTCCGAACTAATGATCGGATGGATCCGGTTGAAGTTTAAGGTATTGGTGTCGAAATATTTTCTATAATCTGTACGCTGGGCGGATTTTTGATGATTTCTGAACTATTAAATTTCAGGAATTTATAAATATTACATATTTTCGGAGCGCATCAGTGCATCATTGTATTCACGTGGACTAGTTGTTCGCATTCTGCAAAATACGGGGTCGAACAGAGTTTGCCACGATTCTGTTGTCAACATGTAAACTCCTTGTTCAATATGACTTCCTTGATCAGGTTCACAGTACACTGCCAGCTGAAGTAAAACGAAAAATCCATAATCTAGAATGGTTGTAAAAGGAAAAACGCTTGTAAAAACTTAAGCTAAACACCTAGAGAATGGAACGACAATGAATTACGAAGGCAGGAAATTGAAATGAAACACTTTGAACTTCAAGACGTTTGTGAAAGGATAATTTGGTCAAAAATACTCACTGGTTTTGCAAACTTTTGCTGGAGTATTAACTAATTAAAAGCTTTAGCAGAAAAAAGAGAATTTCCGATAATATTACAGCAGCAATATTTGAAGCCCTACAGCGCAAACCTTTTCTAACACACTGTCAAATGTTTTGTCATCAACAAATGGTCGGCTTCCTCTCTCGGGAATTGCTGCTTTTAATTTCGAATGGGTCAGATCGCTAACTGCAAGCGCAGCAACAATTTCATTCTCTAGATTATTCGAAATATTTCCGTGGATATTCCATCTTATAACCAAAATATCCAAGAGCAATCTTGCAAAAAAGAGCATATTAGAATAATTGATATCCCAAACATCTATTATGGATATGTCTTCGACATTTTAATTCTGCCATAGTTACTATATATGATTGGCTTTGCGACATTCCTTAAAAATCTGGATTATTCAGTAATGCATATCGAATGATACTGATCGTTTAAACTAATAACAAACAAGGACCAAAATCCTAATCATAATGAAATATAGAAAAGTAATAAAAAATTGTAAAAGCCAACCTTAAAATACCGTCAACTAGAAAATCTACCCATTCCTTGCGTGTGACTACCCATCTTTTCTCCGGGAGAACAACATCGTCGGGAAGAAGACCGCAAAGCGCCAAGCAATCATCCAAATAAAAAGCAGTAGTAATAACTTCCATGAACCATTCAGTATCAATAAAGCACGCTACAAATCTAAAATATTTAATATGGAATTTAGACGCAAATTTCTTTTTCATCGATCTCTTTATCATCTTATATCCATAATTCCCTTAATAAATAAAAATATGTCTACACATACCAAAAACTATGAAAATAGCAAAGAAGCATAAAAACTGCTTAATACCAATAGGGTCAATTTCATCAATTTTCCATTTAATTCGACTTAAATAAATCAATCAAAGATATTAAAGGAATGACGGAGTGAAAAATAGCTGATAAGAATGGAGGAGCCAATCATATTTTCTGTATAAAGTTACATAAAAACAAAAAAAAAAAAAAGAAAAGCAGGAATAGTATTTGATTTTATCGAAAACGCTAACCTAATCAGTGTTATATCGCAGTCCATAAAAGCAATGTTATAATTCGTTTGTGCATAATAAAATGATTGATTTCGAACCGCATTACCGTTCCTTGCCCACATACCAGCTGACGTTTCTGCGCGACATACCTGAAAGATTCAACGAAAAATAGCACATACTTGAAGCCTGACATTACCAAAGCTTGCACTTCAACTTTTTCTTATAGTTGCATATTTTCTCAAGTTTAAAAGCCAGATTTAACAGTTAACTAGTAAAGATAGGTTATTATCACAAAAAGACAAGGAGGAGGGACATGAGAAGCTAACCTGTATCCTCAATGGATGAAAAAGGATTTTGCGCAGAAACGCTTCATCTTCAATAATGATGTCCAGGGAAGAAATAAATGCTGGTAATTCAATGCAGCGCAAAATACCAGCAGATAAATGCCTGTGTAGTGGGATATGATAACTCACGCAGTACGGCTGAACACATACATCGTTCTTTGTTAAACCAATAGCGCTGAACCATTCCTTCAATCCAACAAATGTGTGAAGTGATGCAGACTTCAGCAACTAATAATTAATAGTTTAAAATTAAGTCAAACACGACCCAACCCTAGCACGTGCTGCTTAGATGTTGACGGTCCGAATCACCAATGAAGTATGAACTGGAATCGTAACTTCATTTCGAAAGGATAATATGTGATCGTATCCGCTGTGCAGCAGTAAAACAATAAATAACATGCTATATCAAATAATTTTAAACTTGATCAGCTTATCATAATCGTAGAAAGAGCGGAATTCCTTTGAAATTGAGCAACCTCTAAAATGGTTTTCCACTGAAGAAGATAGATATCCATGCAATCTGTTTCGACCGTCAATGCAGCTAAAGTATTGAACATATTCACAGCTGAGACTTCCCATTCAAGATGAAATGCTAACTGCAATAAATCTGATAGAAATGTAAGTGAAACACTTGATTCATAAAGCAGTGCCATCAAGAATCATAATTAGCTATGGGAAGTATACACAGCAGTACCTGATATGGATGAGTGGTGTCATATTCCAGATGGTTACCAGCGATTATTCGATAATTCAGATTCATCCCTAAACTTACGACATTTTTGTTTCACATTATTTTATAATCAATATAGCAGAAAAAAAAGTTGACGAATTTTAAAACAGTAATCAATGTTAACTTATTGCAATCAATTTAACTTGTGCACACTTGATTTCTTATATTTTGCAGCTATCATGTTTCAACTTATTTCAAGATGATTTTCTGACGTTGCTTTATATTTTTCATTTTAATATTCATATTTTTCTATCTTTCCATATTTTATAACCCAAATTTAGTGATTCTCTGTAAAATTGATATGATTGCAGATAAATACCTTGCATAGGTGCTATTAAAGCCATATAATTTCTCATGCTTTTCTGGTCACGGAAAAATCGTCGTGCAATTTCTCCATGTGTTAACAAATTCTGCAAATCACTAACGAGCGTCCAGTATGAAGCTTTCCGTAACGGTTGATTAGCATCACCCACAGAATATACAAGCCATTTGAACAATTTGTCGTCGCTAGTCGGCGGTGGTGTATTTTGATAGAAATATTCACATGCTAAAAATATAGAATCTTACGCGATAAAATAAATTGTTCATGAACATAAATTCCATACCTTCAAGTGCTCAGCGGAATGTTATGAGTGCTTCCCAGTACTTTAGAATGTTTAATATGATACAATGAAAGCTGAAATAAGCTTAGTCAAATCTTTCAAGACATATTTATATTCACCAAACATGTTCAAACTACTTCTGTTACAGGGTAAAAGTAAAACCTTGCGTTATTGTAGATTTTTGAACACCGGTTTTTATAACACTATAAGTACTTGAAATGATCTTATCTTTAAGGTTGATTTCATCATCTAATTTAAGACATTGAGCTTCACTGGAAAGAATCTGCAAAGCAAAAGTTTGATCAAATTGAAGTTAAGTATACTAAAATCTGATAATGTAAATCTAAAGTTGCTGAACTTGAAGTTTACTTTTTTTAAATAAAACTTCAGCTGTACGCCACAAAAAAATTTTTCATAATATGAAAAGAATGAAGCCAAGCTCAAGCACCTGTACAGAAATGTGTATAATACGGCTACCAACAGCATATATAGCGCTATCACCCTCACATTTGGATAAATCAACTAAAATTTCAGCTATGCAAAAATATAACGAGAAAAACCGTTTCGCAAAAACATCCTGAAACTTTATCCAAATTTGCAAGATTTTAATTATCTTGAAACCGAGAATTACAATTTTCAAATGCGCTTCATATTTTCTTCATGAGGAAAATGAAGAAATCATTTTAAAAAAATTCAAAAAAAAAAATAAGCCAAACCCTGTAATTGACATCCGATAGCAAGCTTAGACATAGATTGATTATTATCTGAGGAAATACGAGCCGGACCATCCAAAATATCAACTCGTCCAACAGACATTCCGGCTCATAGCAGCCATTAATCTGACTTGAATTATTAATTGGTTTCAAGGACTGGAGATCTTCTAGAAACAAACCACGTGTTCGCCAATCCAAGGAAAAATCAGGAGTGCGATTATGATCTGGAAATATAATCAGTTTCATGATGCTATGAATAAGTGCTATTCGATTAATCGACGGAGAAACAAATGTATTTATTATCTACTTTGCATTTTAGTTTTTTCGACAGGTATACGATTCTAATCAACGACTGGAACACATAAAATATGAAGTGCGTTAGATGCGAAGCGAGGGAGGATAAAGTGAAAACGAAGCTCAGAACTCGTGAAGTCTCTCCAACAATTCGGAACTACTCTTAGAATAACTATAAGGATTATTCGAGTGATCAGTGAATCGAACAGCAAATTTCTACCTCTAATATCATCATCAGCATTGCGCTTATTTAAATCGTGATATAACTGTCGATCAAGCAAATTCCCGATGATGACGTCACGGATTGGACCACCATAGTCAACCAACTCCTAAATGTAAATGAAATTCTGGTATTAAAAGCAAAACAGAACATTGTTTACATTCCGACAGTACCAAATCAGTCAGGATTATCAAAGAATTATCAGATAATCCAGTTATTTGGTGAAGAATATGATAGCAGGACAGTACTTAGAACGTGTCGATGCCACCCACTGCAGCAGACCAATAGAAGACTAAACCATTCAGTAAAATTATACTCTCGATTTAGCTATTAGTGATTATATTTTGCTACATTTCACAACACTGAACATTGAGGGAGCGGTTGGATGAATGCTGAAAATTAGAGATTGAATCAAAAACTTTCCAATTAAAATAATGAAAAAACCTGAATTAGTTCAATCAAAATACGTGCTCGATTAACAAGATGATTACTGAAACTTTCCCTGATAGAACCATCGTTGCAAGCGTTGTACTGCTTCTTCTATAGATAAAAAAGGAGTGCAAAAAAGTGTTTTATACTTTTTCTTTCTATTTTGATTTAGCTACACTTCTTTAAATTGTTCACTTATTTCCGTTTGAGTAAAAGAATATTCTGGTTTAAAAAAAAAAAAAAAGAAAAGAGTAATAACAGTGCTTTAGAACCACAACCTGCACATGTAACCTAGCTCAACATTTCAATTTTTAATATTCCTGATTAAAATTAATACGGATGGTAGCATGCCTTAAGTTAAAATTGGGAAAGAAAACAAAAGTTAACCTACCCAACCTCGAAAACACAGGAATAACCGAACAAAGAGTTTCGGGATAATGAATTCTCCCAATGAAACAATATTCGGAGAAGGGATCGGTGGACGGCATGCATTTGGTCCATGTCGAAAGCAGAACCTATAACAAACTAATGTAGATCTTTGATATCAATTATTTTTAATGTAAGGGAAATCAGTTGAAGAAATACCCCGACTCTTTTAGAACATCCACATTCCCACAATCACAAGCGCCTCCAGCTTGTGAAAAGAAACGATTGAAATCATGCCCATCATGGTTTGAATTCTTGAAGCAACTACTACATAAAGACATGCCTGAAAATGTTTTCTTGAACTCATTGTTTGCAATTCATTTCAATGAGAATATTTAAGAAAAACAAAAACTTGATTTCATTCTGGGACTATTTGACTGCTCTGTGAAACATGTCTAATAATGACGAATATTGGATATAATCCACTAAATCCACATGTTTGGACTAGACTCTCTGTAGATTCGTTGGATATTTCATTTAATCTATCACTTAATTAACCAACAGAAAATTTTCAAAAGCATATAAATGATACATGGATTGAATGCGCATGTGTTGCACCGATATGCAATAGCATCAGCTGACCAAACTGCATTACATTTCAGGGAAAAGTCGTATTTTTTCACTGAAAAAAAAATAAAATAAAAGGAAATGAAAAAAATAAAACACACCAGAAATCGAATACAGTTAACTTTGTTGTATCACAGATTTTCAACTTCATTTAAGTTTGCCTGCTTCTGTTACGTTTTTTTTTCCATTATGTTCTTTTAAATAAATTCAATTGCATCAGGCAATGGACTGTTCCGTTTTAGTGGTAATAGCCCAACAAAATCACAAACGGAAACCTTAGAAAGTAATTCGCATTGTTAAGAGCCAAATCTTTCCCTCTAGTTCAACTCCAGGTTACAGTGAATGACTGATTTTTATCGTATAGCTCAATAATTTGCTTAAATTGATGAATTTACTCGGCAACCCTAAGCTTCCTCACAAACACCGAAATTTTTTTTTCTTTTTTCTTCTGTCGGTTTTAAAAAGCTGAAAGTGAGAAGGAAAATTAGCCTATACTTTTGTCTTTGAAAGCGGCGGTTGTTAAACCTTGAGCAATCAATAAACGTAGCTCGTCACGTGTATCACTCTTGAACGGACTAGTAACCGATCCACTAATGAGAGTATCGAGTCGCGCTTCTAATGCACCTGCTTTCTCCCTTAATTTAAGGTGCATTTTTTCAATTATAGAGATATATTATTTTCAATACTGATTATCTTTTTCAAAATGAGTACTATAGTGTATAGAAATGCTGTAGAAGCGTTGAACTAGAATAGATTATTCTTTCGCAAGAATTTGTTTTTTAGATGAAAACTTTCCTTACTTCTCTAGAAAATACAGAAACGTCTCTTTACCTGATATCAGCGGGTAATCTATCACAATATTTGCCACCAAACACAGGACATCCCTTTGCTTTCAGTTCATCGCTAATTAATTTCAAATGCTTTGCCTCATTCATCTTTCCTTCTTCCTAGAAATATCTGGACGATTGTCACGATGAAAATTACAAAGTTCATAGAGCAAATCTTTTAGCTAATCTATAAAAGGTCTCTTTTAGTTTACATCTGTACCAATTTAGTTAGTCATTACTTTTCCGAGTTTTATTTTTATTTTTTAAACACTTCTTGACATCAAAATTATATGCCATACATCCAGTATTTACTTGGCATCAAACGAAGCTAGAAGAGTATTTGCTGAGGATCTTTTACAATGCTTAAGTGCTTTGGAATAATCGAAAAAAGAAAATTACCCAGCCTTGTTCATCCATTCTGTCGTTAAGTTTACCGTCACATTTCGACTGATTAGTTAACGATGTTGACTCGTTCGATGAATCACCTGGATTTGGTACCATCACCTAAAATTAAGTGGAAAAACTTCCATGAATTGATCATGCTTAACTTAAAAAGACGTATGTATATGCGCCAGAATTTACATACTTTTTCTTCTTTAAACATGTATTACGTAATTGACGTAAATGTAATTTTGAATATAATAGAGTTAATTGTAAGAAAAAGAAAGTGAAAATCAAAGGGTTAACATTTTTTGATTTTATTAACATTCTGAACCAATGAAATTAATCAAAGTATTGTGAAAATTTGCTAAACAGCTTCATCTATATATGGAAATTGTCCGACGGAAACAGTCAACAGAACTTAAGTTGTAGGATATCGAATGTCATAACGTCCTCGACTCCTACGATACACTGTTTTAGTCATCCTAGCATATCGATAGTGTGGATGAAAAAGTATCAATTAGAGATCGTGGCATTAGTTGGAAGTAATTCCCGTGAGAACAGATAACGTTTCATGTACTTCTGAACGAGTAAATACTCACGGTGAATTCTTACCTAAGTATTTGACGTAATTATACTTACGTGACTTCTCGTACTACTTAATGGATGCTTTAGTGCAATAATATCCTCTCATTTTATAGGAATGGAAGGACGCAAAGTTTCTCCAGTACGCTCGGATAACTCGAAATTATCATCATCTCAATCTAATAATTATTACGCTAATTTAGCTGTTCAGGTTATCAAATTTCTTCCGATAATATTCAGCATTTCTAGAATATTACTACTGTTAGAAATGAATATTAGTTAATTGAAATAGCTAATTACGAGAAGCATTAAGATGAAATAATTTTCAATTTAAAATTTTTTACTATTTATTAAATAAAATTATTGCAGGAAGGGGATGGACGGCTTTTCAAAATGGAAGTGGATTATACGGAACAGACTGATGAAGCTTTAGCTAAAGCTGATGCTATTGCTAAGGTTGCCTGCTGTTTGAATTATTCATTTAAATTATTCTCTATTCTGAGTAGTTATTTTGCATTTCACTTATTATCTGTTAATTACCAAAGATCAATGTAATAATAGTATCCACAAAAACTCATCGTTATATGAGGCTGGCAGCAGCATATTTAGTACCGACGATATATGGAGCATTTATTTAAAAGGGGTGTTTTATTTAGAAAACATTTTTGCTGATAAATGGATTAAGTTGTAAAGCTGATTTTATGAGATTTATAGGAAGGGTGACAAAAATAAGTTGCAGAGTGGTAATGTGCCAGCAGCGCTAGATTTATTGTCAAGTTTGGAGAAGTCAACAAGACTTGGATCAGATATGAAATCAAATACGCGTATTGTTCAACATATGGTTAAGCTCTGCTTTGATGGAGACGACTGGACGCTATTAAATGATACTATTCTGATGTTATCTAAAAAACGTTCAATAATCAAACAAGCAATAGCAAAAATGGTTTGAATTTATATCTCTACCTATGTTTATGAGTAACGATTTTTGTTTGTTATTTCAAGTGCACGGTGTTATGAAGTGATTGAAGAAAAAAAGCATCTTCAAAAGATAGAAGGAGATCGAAATTGGCCTTCACTTTTTTCATTCATAATCTAAGAGATCAGGAGTTGTTTAATATGTTATTTCAGATACGCGATTGTTGTGATATGATTGAAAAAGCACCAAATGAGCAGATTCGTGATAAACTCATCGAAACATTAAGGAATGTTACTGCTGGAAAGGTATCCTTCAAAGCCTTCACTTTTCGTTTTTACAGAAGGCCGGTGTTTGTTTCAAATTCGAAAAATACGTCAGCAAGAACAGTAGTGATTGGGATTTACATTATGGAAGACCGTCTTACGTGACGGTTATGCATGATTTCTTTTTCTTTTTTTGTTGTTTAAACTGGTTCTAGATCTATGTCGAAGTTGAACGAGCCAGGCTGACCAGTCGTCTTGTGAAGAAACTCGAGTCGGAAGGTAAGCTTGATGAAGCGACGACAATGCTTCTCGAGCTGCAAGTGGAGACTTACGGTTCTATGGAACTAAAAGAGAAAGTAAGTTCTCTCTTTTGGATTAGAATTTTGCTTTTGGGTCTTTCTCTTCTCATTCACTTTTTTTTTTAGGTAGAATTTATCTTAGAGCAAATGCGCCTGTGTGTATTGAAGAAGGATTTTATTCGTGCATCAATTTTATGCAAGAAGGTCTCCACTCGTTTTTTTGAAAACAAATCGGAAGAGGTAAATTTTCCAACAGAACCGTATTTGGAATTTTGCCTATCTTAGCGACGTTTATTGTCCATATTTTCAATAATATCGTGAAGTATATTTTCACCACCTTGTTACGATAACGGGGCAGTACGAGCTGAGAGGCAGATGTAAGTATTTTTGCATAGAAGTTGGTGGATGTCGCGTTTTCATCAGTAAGGAAGTTTAGATCATCCTTATCATTATTGAATCAAGTTGGATGCTTCTGAACTTTGCATAAATCTCAGACGGCTTTTACTATAGGTGTCGTGCATTTTTTTTTTCCGCAGAGCATCCCTGTTGAAGTAATTCAAGGCTTTATTTTAAGGTGCAAGAACTGAAACTGAAGTATTATGATCTAATGATCAAAATTGGTTTGCACGAAAGTGCTTATCTGGACGTATGCAGGTATTATCGAGCTGTTTTAGATTCACCTTGTGTGCAGGCTGATCAGGAAAAATCAAAACAGGTCAGTTTTCGTCCAAGCATTGGGAATATGGCTTTTCCGGATCTGATATGTTGTCGTTTTCTTTTTTTTTCAGATTCTTAAATGCATTGTTCTATATGTGTTGCTCTCTCCACATAACAATGAACAGTGGGATTTGCTACATCGTATTCATGAAGGACGGCAGCTAGAACTTATTCCGGAATACAATTCACTTCTTGAACTATTTATTAATCAGGAATTAATTTCATGGAAAGTATGTATGAACTGTTAAAAAAAATAATTATTTGGTATTTTACTTCTAGGGATTTATTGAAGGGAAATATTCTTTTATGTGCTACATTCTTTATCTGTTTAGCTGTAGATATATGAGGATTTCTTAGTGACTTGAGCATTCTTTACAATGTTCCGAAATAATGAATAATGTTAGACATCTCATACTACATCGCTATGCACCAGACGTTAATCTGTAATGTGTTAGGTACTTACAGAAAACAATAAGTAAATATGAAAAACTCTTACGTGATGGTATCTCGACCAGCAAAGCGACCGATGTCCTCGATCGTAGTGAAAGTGGAAATAAGCGCTGGTCCGATTTACACACTCGTGTTGGTGAACATGTAAGTGCCTTATAGCTTGCTATTTTTTTTTTTTTTACGTTTTAATTTTTCTGTGGAAATATCATGCTTAGTTTTTTAAGGCCGAAAACAAATGAGTGACACTTTTATAAAAGGACAATAATTGAGGACCAAAAATAATTTATTATTATAAAAGTATATAACAGATATCAGTGAAAACTTTGCACATCGCTTGCTGTTATCTATCATGCAGAAACTTTGATATTCACTTTTATTTTCGCGCCATATTTGTGTCTGTTAGCTTGATCGTAAGACAGTCCGTAATCTAAACTCTCTTGAAACAAATTTAAAAAAAATTTTTCTTAAAGAAACTTATATTTTCTGCAGAATATGCGCATGATTGCGAAATACTATACCAAAATAACATTTGCGCGTATGGCCGAATTACTTGATTATCCAGTTGAGGTAGGTCTATATGTGAATGGATTTGAGAATCGTGCTTGATTTATGCAGTTCCAAATTTGCAAATGTTCTGCAGTAAAAAATGAGATGTTATGATAATTGAAATGTTTCGAAACTGGAATAATTTATGAGTTGTATGGAATTCTGATTAATGAAAATCTAGTTTGTAATTTTTCTTATGATGAAAATTGCACTGTAAAATGAGGTTCTGATTTGCCATTATACGTTTTGCTAATAAATTAAAAGGTGATTCTATATACTCTAATATTTTTTGAATAATTCAAGGAAATGGAAAGTTTTTTATGCAATCTCATTGTTACGGGTGCAATTCCTGATGCAAAAATTCACCGCCCAGCAAAGGTTGTGAATTTGCGAGCTCGAAAAGCTAATATTGAACAATTGGATCAGTGGGCTAGTTCGGTACGAAAGCTTACCGATATTCTTAATAAGGTTATTGTTTGTTTTTCCTTTTTTCTATTTGTTTATTTTTTATCCTTTTTATAATAACAACTATCACAGATCAAACATAATTAAAATTATTGCAGTACTGGGTTGTACAAATTAATTTTTTTCTTTTCCTATTGCTTCTCCCGATTTGCCAACTTTGTATTTAACTTTGTAAATACGAAAAAAATTGAATTTTCTGGCATTAGGAAATATACTTTTTTTTTCTCTAGCATTAGAAAATATACTTTTTTTTAATTTGAAATGAAGATTACGTGCTAACTCTGTTAAACTATTCTATATGTATATATATATATGTATATACATATATATATATATATATATATATATTTATTTTTTTTTCTTTATAATACA